GTCGTCGTCGTCTTCTTCTTCTTTCCTCTCCTCCTCCTCCTCCTCCTCCTGCTCTCCTCCTCCTTCTTTCTTCTCTCTCTCTTCCTCTCCTCCTCCTCTTCCTCCTCCTCTTCTCCTTCCTCTTTTTCTTAGTTCTTTCTTTCTTCTTCTTTTCTTCTTCTCCTTTTTCTTTTCTATTTCTTTTTCCTTTTTCTTCTTTTTCTTCCTCTTCTTCTTCTTTCTTTTTCTCCTCCTCTTTCTTCTTCTCCTCGCTCTCCTACTCCATCTTCTTCTTTCTTCCTCTTCTCTTCCTCTTCTTCTTGCCGAGATGATCCAAGATCAATACGACAAGCTGATTCCAGAGAAATACGGTGAGAGCAGCGACCCGGCAGCGACTTCGTGTACACTATGGCGCGACCCGTATGATATGGGTTCCACAATTCGTGTCTGGAATTGCGTGTAGATTGTAGAGAGTTTTGGAGAAAATTTTTATCCCTGTGTGATAACCACCCTTATCCTCGCTGTTGTCCTTCCCTTTTGATTAATTACCAACATGATGATGAGGCTTGCCAATATTCACTCACAGATTTTTTTTTTTTTTTTTTTTTTTTTTTTTTTTTTTTTTTTAATTCGGTCGTGGTCCGTGGTCAGGTCCGTGGCGGAGAAACAACACAGGCCGGAGACTTGCCTTTAAGCCCTATCACACCATCACTTTTTCCGTCAATTTTTTTTTTGCGTTTCCGAATGAACTTTCTGGATGAAAATCGACTGACTCATGTAAACAAACATGGCGCTGTCGGAGGGAAGTCCCGGGAATCATACGAACATTCTCATACATATTACGATATTTCAAGGAAATATGATGATGTATATTGCATATACGAATGTTCTAATATATTAGCTTATGTTAACATTCACTCATCCTATCTAATCTATTTAAGCAAAGATCAAGACGGAAATTAGTCAGACGGAAACGGTCGTAACCGTCTTGGTCTGGGAGGCGTTCCGTTTGCAAACGATACTTGCGGAAAGTCTCAGATTCAGACGGAAACGCACAAATTGACGGAAAAAGTGATAGTGTGATATGGCCATTAGTGTACAGGGTTAAAGGACCCGCGAAGTTTGTTGTTACTTTGAGGACCGAAGGCACGCTAACAAGCTTATTTCGCCGTCTAAATTTAGTTTTACTTGGTATCCTCGTACGAGTTGCCAAAGGTGTATATTCAGTGATTACTTCTACAACAACTACATGCTCAATTTTATATTCAATGTGAATTCTGTGGTTGATAAATGACTTTAAAATATTATCCTTATAGTAGTCACCTTGATGCCAACTTTCAAACTTTCCTCGTTCAATTTGCGCATTAATGGTTGTAGTTCATTTACTGGCTCGCTTGGGGGAACAATATAATTCATGCAAATCTGAGTTTAATTTAACGGCCGTCCCCTTTTCAAAATGGATCCAGTGCGCCTGAGATGCAGTTTGGGAAGGCTTTTGTGTTCAATTCATACGCGGACATTTTTTAAAAGAACTTATTATAGCGTGATTTACTCGTGATCTTCCATAATGTTTATTATTAGTTTCGTGCATTTTTTATATCATCCACTGTCGAAATTTGTATTTTTTAAGTGTACTTTAGTAATATTGCACGTATTAAGAAGTTAAAATAAAGTGGAATTTGAAGAAAAGTTCGTGTCAACAATATTTCTTTTTGGAGGGCTACGAACGCCTCACCATTTGATATCCTCGTGGTATTTATAAACACTACAAGCCTATTTATATTATCCTTATGGCTTTAATAATAGATTTAAAAGGTGCTTAAAAGTAATACCTTATTCATCAATTTATTCATGCATTTTATGTATTTATTCATTTTCATTTATCCATTCATTCTGTTAAGTTTATTACCCCTTCTCCAGATTATATTTTCTCGTCTTTGTCAGTTCGGCAAATTCTGTTTTGTTCCTGACTGGCATGGTTTTCAAGGTGTTCCAACTAGTTTCTACTGAAAGATTAAAAGACTTGTTTTCGTTCTCGCAGCCCTAAGTTGGTTACGTGGGGAGGCGGCTTCTCTGACTTTATTCCCTCACCTCCGGGCGTGTAATCTAAACTCATTTCTAAACACACACACACAAAAACATACATACTTGTGTAATATATACGATATATATATATATATATATATATATGATATATATATATATATATATATATATATATATAATATAATGTATATAAATATATTATATACATTTATATATATATATATATATATATATATATATACACTACAACCACACAAATCATAAACGCACGGTCCCGGTGGCAGCAAAAATTAATGATATTTTGACAACCGAACAAGAAACTAGAAATTTGATTCATCTTCTATAATTACCAAAAATTACCAAGTCATGTACCGTTAGCATATATTCAGCACCGAATCTGTTTATATTCCCATTCCGAGGAAAATATGAAAAGGAAATACGATAAAGAAAAAGTTAATACGGTTCCGAAATAGAA